TACAAAATGAATATTGTTTTATTGTATAATAACGATATGAAAAAATCACAATTAATGCGATATAGACTCTTGCGGACGAAACTCTGCGCGGAATATTAAACAGTAATATGATATCAGACGTAAGTCTTTGACTGAGTTCTCTCTAAAACTTCAACACGTACTGCTGAACCAACAAAACTATTATTGAACAGTTTCTGCTTGAGCCATAATTTTAGATGGAATTTTCTTATTAAGAGAAACAAACGATGCGTGATTCCATTAGAAGAAGAATAATTTCTGCTTTATATGAATATTTTAAATTGTCTATTAACTGTGTTATTGTTGCAGCACGAAATACTACAGTCGGAGAAGAACCACATTTGCATGGGTATACCAGCTTATAATATTAGCAAAATGCTATTATGTTTTATTGTAGATAAATAGCCGTTCGCACCTAGTGGCTGCGTAAGAGAACACACTATATTATCATCATCAGCATCATCATCAGCATCTTCATCATCACAGCCCTTCACAAGTCCATTGATTAACATAGGCCGCCCTCTCAGGAATGCCACAAAGCACGGCCCTGAGCACTTTAAACGCGATATATACCAACCACTATAAACCACTATAAACGGATTAAAATGTAAAACATAAAATGCGTAGCAGCATCTTCTTTATAACAACTTAATATAGATAGTAAAAAATCTGTGTGCCAACCCGAATACCAAACGTGGCAACTGTGGCAAATATCCCTCCCATATGAGGAAATCTATAGGGAGGCTTATGTTCAGCAGTGGACCGTTGATAAGCTAACATGAATGAATGAATAGTGTTTTATATGGTGGGTGAAAAGAATTGAAGACCCCTTTTTTGGTATAGAGACATTCCGTCTTAGTCCTCAGGGGTGACGCATCTGCATTTTGATTATATAGTGGATAGATATAGTTGTCTATAAGATACAGCACCCCTTACCTTTAGGCTGACTTTGTGCTCTGTCACCCTTATTCTATAAAAAGGATTTCATTTCTCGTAAACCCTATATTTATATAACAGACAGGGACACTAGTCTTTCGTTCAAGTCTGTATTACCTCGTTGTAGTGAAAGTGTAAAATATACAGAAGCGAGAAGTTTTGTAATAAAATGTTATGTAAATTGACGGACAAAACGTGCCAACAACTTTGTAAACTTAGTGTAAACTGAGGCGTTTAATTTGCAATATGAATTGACAAATACTTCTTGTATGTATGGTATGGTTAGCTGACTGCCTCATTGGTCTAGTGGTCGTAGACGAGATTACTGATTATGGGTTTGGGGGTCAGACCAAAATAAATTATTGGGTTTTCGGTCAAGATATTCTTATTGGCAACCCGGAGTCACGAAGTTGACGGTGTTTCACGCCTCGTTCCTCGGAAAGCACTTAAGCTGTTGGTCCTGCGCCTGGTTTCCTTTCGGTCGTGTCGGATTGCCGTCACTTGGGACTACGTGAGTGAGCACTACAATAATGTCCTGCACAAATGGCTGACCTCTGGTGAGACTGTTCGCTGTGATCGAAATTCGATCTGGATGACCTTATGGTTGCCTAAGGTATGGTTTCAGTAGAGAGCGTTATGCGGAGAGTACAGCGTGGCCTTATGATACATAACACTATTGGTATTGGAGTGACCTGATTGGTGGCCTTTAGAGTTTTTTGTAAGAGACTTTCCACTGAGGCTTTCCCTTAACGTTAAGCTTAGGATTCAACGTATTGAGCTATCATTTTATTTTTTTATTTTCTCATAATAGTATAAAGATCACAAAAACTAATTAACAGACTATTTAGTGCTAAGATGAAGTGCTTACGGTCTGTTAATATGTTGGTAGAGAATAGGATAAAGATTCACCACAAAAAAGTGCGTTTATGATAAAAATATGGTAAAGATGGCTCACAGTCAATAGAGTACTACGGCTGTGCTCTTATTTGGTATGAACGTGGTAGAGCCATACTGCAGTATCATTCCGCAAGGTATTCTAAAATAAAGTTGAATCTAAATTGAATCTATTGTAGAGCGCTCGTCGTTGAAATCTTTTGTGGACATTTTGTTTAAGTTGGAGTTAAAAGCTATTTTATTGAAGAATGGCTAATTTTTATAAAATTTAAATTTTTTATATAATACATATTCTTACTTTTTCATATAGTGGGTTTAGAGAACCGTAAATCCTTTTTACTGGATATTGGACATTCCATGTTAGTCCTCAGGGGTGACAACGCATCTGCATTTGAATTCTTAATTGAAGATAGATGCAGGTGTCTATGAGCCACAGTATCCACTAACCGTCAGGTGGGCTTTATGCTCGCTTGTTACACTTATTTTTTAAAAAGAACTAACTTGTAGCACATGGTGTGATCGTAGAAATAAGTATTGAGTTTGTAGTGGGAACTTCAGAAAGAAGAAAACTTCAGAACTTCGTTGCGTAGACTGTTATCTGTGTGTGAAAAATACGCTGCTGAACATGGGCTCATCTATAACACCAGGAAAAGTGAGTTATTAGTGTTTCGTGTTAACAGTAAGAAACCTCTGATTGTGCCGCCAGTAAAACTCCTTGGTGTGCCATTAAGTAGAGTTTGTTAGTGTTAGTGAGTTTGTGTTGTTGCTTGCCCGCAGGTTTGCTAGGTGTACAAACGACATAAAATTAACCCTCTTCAAGGCGTACTGTCAAAAATTTTACACCTGCAGCCTGTGGTGTGACTACACGCAGAGGACCTACAATGCGCTTCGAATTCAATATAACAATGCCTTCAGGATGCTAATGGGCCTTCCTAGACACTGTAGTGCTTCAAGCATGTTTGCTGAAACAGGTGTTGATGATTTTTATGGCATCTTAAGAAAGCGAACTGCGTCAATGTTACATAGACTACGGAAGAGCTCAAATGGTATCTTGAGGATATTTCAAGATAGGCTTGACAGTCCTATTCAGAGGCATTGGATCCTGAATTCAAGTTTCTAAAACGATTGCTCTCTTTCTACAGATATAATTTATTTTATTCTTATTTTATTATTGTATTTTTTTACTAACATAGTTTATGTAAATTACTAACAAAAATGTGTACGGATATGTATATCTGAAATAAACATTATTATTATTATACATTTAATCTCACAGCGTAAATAGAGAGGGATTTACTTAGATTTAGACTTGGCTATATTATTTAGGCACATAATGTTTTAATGGGATGAAGTTTGATGGAAAATACGTTGCACAGTCACATTGTAACTAGTTATTTGTTCAAAGTCGTAATCGGAAGAGCTGGATCTACGTAGAGCCACACCCTCACTTAATACGACTATATAAGAGCGCCGCCACTCTGTGCTGTTACGTTTTATATACGTATAGAAAAACGATGACCCAATTACTAAAAGTTAAGAATACCGCATTGGAGTCTTGGGTTAGTAACGGACTATGATTGGACTAAGTGGTAACTGCCTACGAAAAATACAATATATTTTAGACTCTATCATAGACAGTTCAAGTGCTTACAGGGTTTCAGTCTTCACTTAATAGTGGCTTGCTAACAAAAGTTTGAATAATTTTAAGAATATATTATATATTAAAACAAAATATTAATTATATTAAAACAATCTGTAAATGTAATTTTATACAGCAAACCAAGCAATTACGGCATCCAATTTGCAGACTGTGGGGTAATTTATCTGCGTAGTCTTTTTCAGAATGACTGAAAACATAAATTAATATATTAACAAACTGTGACATGTGCGCCGCGGTAAGAATTTAATGAAATCATTGTAAATGAAACTCGATAAGTGGTTGTATTTATGAGAGAACATCCCTGGACTCTTTTCTACTGCTCATTGACGTATGAGGCTCTGGGATTCGACTGATAGCAGAAAATTGAACCAAAATCGGTTCGGAACTCAAAAATCAGCGCAGCAGGATTTGCAATCATTTTCATCATCATCACTACAGTCTATCAACGCCCAGCTGTGGACGAGTAACGGACATAGGTCCATCACATAGTTTACCCCATAGAGGGTTATTGCCACTGTTGCTACGCTATATATATAAAAAAAAAAAAAAATAAAAAAATATATATATATATATATATTGAGCCGTGGTAGCTCAGATGGTTAGCGCTCGCTGTAAATTTCACAATACGCGAGCATGTGAAGTTCGCCAACACGCATTGGGGCAACGCGGCGGACTATTCCTTGCCCTAAAAACCTCTCAGAAATGAGAGGAGGCCTGTGCCCAGCAGTGGGACGTATATAGGCTGTAACTTATATATATATATATATATATATATATATATATATATATATATATGTCAAATTAATATTATGTGTTTACTTAGTATTGACGGCTTGTGTTTACTTAAGCGACACTAATCAGGTGTGTGACAATTAAATTGGACAGTCATCAAATGTTAGTAAACGTAAGTGTTACAATTATCGTTGTACTAACCTCGTGAGCGATCGTCAACAAACGGTAAATCCGCCAGCCTCGAAGCGATACGCTCAGAATGAGTAAACTCTGATAACAGACGTAATATCGCGAATGTTACGCCAGGTGGAGTCCCCGCTGCGCTGTACGAATACGCGATAACTCAGTACAACGCTTGCCTCGGTTCACGTCGGACGAGTGTCGCTGCAACGTATAATGTGACCCCAGCCGAACTTGCAGCGGACCCTAGCGAGAGCTAAAATTGATCAGTTCCGTACGTGGTGACAGGATAACGATGCCGTGGTCAGAATAGTGATTGGCCGAATGAGTGCGTTAATAAACTTTACGGGAAATTAAAAAAGTGTTTGCTCTACGCCGTGTCGCGAATTTTGTAGAATTGTGTGACCTTGTGATGTATATTTAAATAAATTATGTATAATAAGTATACTTTCTGAACCATTGTAATCGTGAGATTGTTTTTTTAATGTGGAAATCGTAGGCAAGTTACGTTTAAGCTGTTGTCTTATGACGAAGTATTATGGATTAATTTTAAACTGACTTTATACTTTGTTAAGTGATAATGTTGGCTGTAAAGAATTTTTTTATGCCCGAAAAACGGGTTGACTCACCGCGATTCTCTCGCATGCCCGAGGCCTTGATGAGGTCCATAAGGAGGCGCTCGTTGAGGGTCAAGAGGACGAAATCCCTTGTGCTTGTAAATGAGAAAAGGAAGTCCGGTGAGTGGTAGAGTATTGCTTTCTTTCTCTTTCGTTTTTAGAATTACGCTATCTGGGATAATGAACCATTATATTTAAGTTCTGTCCGTCTGTATTAATTCCATGCTGTTTTCCATTGTCCTGTAGAGGTTTTTAAAGAATTACTTAAATAAAATACTAAAGATATTTTTCACTTCGGAACACTATTTTATGTGTCCCGTCCCACACGACTATTTAAAATGTTTAAACAGTTTTTTTTTAAATTAGCTTTTAATTTCTATATGTATACTTTATGTTGCCACTATGCAAGTTGTTGTAAACTTATAGACAATTCTTTTTAGAATATAGCAGTGTAAAACTACTACTACTTTTAGATTGTACACGTGACAGAGACACGCTGCAGCTATATTATAGTTGTAGCGCGACTCAACCGGGGGAGGACCACGCTCTCACAGAACACCAGCGTAAAATAGCAGCTTAATGCTGCTGTGTTTCGTATGGTGAGTGTAGAGATCCGGAGACCCTTTTTATTGGATACGAGGCATTCCATCTTAGTCCTCACGGGTAATAACGCAACTGTATTTTGTAATTGAGGATAGATGTAGATGTCAATGGGTCACAGAATCAACGTACCATCAGGTGAATTGTGTGATCATTTGTCACTTTTTATTCTATAAAAAAATTGAACACTTGTATATAATATGTAAGTACGTGATGGTATTAAACAGTATACTCATTCGAGGTTGAAACAGTCAGTATTATTCCATTCAGTCTTTCATTACAGCTTCTTAAAATATTCCTCCCCCATAGATTGCCTCATAGCGGAAAGGTTTGCCAAAGTTACCACGCTTGGCAGACGACTTGCCAATAGTTTTTTTAAAGATTTTGAGATGTTTTCGGTTTTTTTATTATTATTGCGTTCTTGTCAGGAAGGTATCGTGTAGTGAGAGAATTCACTTTTCCATATTATCCCGTGGATGGTGGAAGAGGGAAATTTGTACAAAAAAATATTACTTTAAAATTTTAGCAATTCTTTGAGATTTTCATTTTTCCCGTTTTATTGAATAATGGTATTTAATAGACTCTCTTATCAGTTCGTTACCTCTCAATGATGAGATGGAGAAGCTTCAGACATTAAATGACGGAGGCAGTATAACTTTCTAGTTATTACGCAACCAAGAGACATTTTCTTAAAGAGCCTGGGAATTTCGCGCAATTATATTTAATGAAAAGAGAAAAAGCTTTAAACATGTATTAATTATTTCGCACTCATTCATAATGTTACAGTATGCACTTTTTCAATAGTTACGTTTTTTATGGAATAGGGGTGACAAACGTGTGCTCGTTACATCTACATACATCCTCGATTAAGAATCAAAACGCAGATGCGTTGTCACCCCTGAGGACTTAGATGGAATCCCTCGTTAAAAAAGGGTCTCCGGATCTCTACACTCACCATACGAAACACAGCAGTGTTAAGCCGCTACATACGCTGTGAGAGCGTGGTCCTTCCCCGGTCGAGTCGACCCATTCGTGCTACAAACATTATATAGCTGCAGCGTGGCTCTACCACGTATAACTTGTTATTTTTGTTGGTTTCACAACCCTTTAGGTTGTCGCTTCGGGACATACTTTGAAATTTCCGAAATCGGCTAACTGCAGGTGAAGTAATAACCTTCATAATATGTCCCACATACATACGCACTTTTATATACATTTATATATAAAGAGAATTATTAAATTAATATTAATACATAAAACTTACAATAAAATAATATATTATTTTCGTTCAAAATATTGTTGCAAGTACGCAACGCGTGCGTATTCGTCAAACCACTATAATATGTATTAATGAAATATATTCTTCAATACTATTCTATACATACAAATGAAATAAACTTAGGAAAATATATACACGCGCTCTTTCGGTTAACAAAATAATTACAAAACAAAGTCAAGTCGACAAGCAAATTAAAAGACCACAAAGCATTACGTAACTGCGCGAGTTGTAGCGTACCTACTCGGAATACGAGGTAGTTTTACGATTTTGTATGCGTTTTTTTTCTCGACCTCGAACTCCTCCTCAGCGTAATTAATTACCGCGTCGATAAATGTCTTTTCGGTCAGATCTAGTTTTTCGTTTCGTTTTTTTTGGTTTTAAACAAGCGAAATCGGCACGAAAGGTTATAACTTCATATAACCTTTCGTTTTGGTATAAATTGAAAATTAGCTTATGAAAGCAAACAGAAAATCGAAAATTATATAAATACATCATCACACTTTCATCTCACACTACAATAGAAACATATAATGTGTAGTAATTAAGTTGAAATGGTCAAAAGTCTTAAGTCAGTGGCAATTATATTGGGTAAGTCTATGGTCAAAAACTGAGTTCAAGAGGCGAGAGAAAATTTTATGTGGTATTTTTATGTGTTCGGCTTGACCGGGGAAGGACTACACTCTCACAGAATACCAGTGTAAAATAGCAGCTTAGTACTGCTGTGTTTCGTATGGCGAGTTTAGAGATTCGGAGGCCTTTTTTTTACCGGAAACTAGGCATTCTATCTTAGTCCTCAGGGGTGACAACGCATCTGCATTTTGGTACTTAATCTGGGATAATGATGTTTATGGGTCACAGCATCCACTTACCATCAGGTGAACTGTGTACATGTTTGTCACCCTTATTCTATAAAAAAAATATAATGGATAGCCGAAATTATAACAAAATCATGTGACAAAATACTCTATTTATGCGTATATATTACATTATTCTATATAGAAGAGCAAAAGCATGAGTACCTCATAAACATCCGCAGCACCAGTGGAATTGCAGGTGCCTTCAAGAAAAAAATTTACTCCTATTTTAAACTCCGCCAACGCACATCCAACGTTTGCTCTACTTCTATAAAAAGAAAAGAGAAAGAATGAATGAAAAAAGAATGCGTTGCCTGAGCTAGGATGTAACAGAACGATTGCGTCTGATCAGTTTTGTTTATTATCTAGGTGGTAGTGGAGTTTTTCGGTTTTGAGGTCTTGGAGAATTTGACAAAGTTAAAGATATAATAATCTGTGAGATTCTCATTTTGGGTCTGAAGAATTTTTCTTGTTTATCAATGTATGTTCTAGACTTTTTGCAGTCATATTCCGTAATTAAGCGATTCAGATCGCGGAGAAAATCAATAATTTTGTTATCTTCTTCGAAGCAATCAAATATCCATTACGGATTAGAAATCGAAGCAACAGATCCATAATTTATTTGACGTTGAAGTTCTCTTATGAAACGTAATAATTTTTTATAATTTTTTTTTTCAATAAATGAAGGTTAGTTTAAAATTGGACTTCGTGAGCACATGAATATTTCTCTCAGAGAAGGGCTTTAGGATTTTTCTTACTCTATACGATACGGTTATTTTTTTAAATTTGTTTTTAAGATAACTATCAAAATATTAGATAGGGCCGTGGTAGGTTTTTTTATAGGATAAGGTGACAAACGAGCACACAGGCCACCTGATGGTAAGTGGTTGCTGTGGGATATGCGTTTGTTAGAAATTAGTCTCTAAATGTTTTTTATAAAAGACAATATTTCTCAGTATTGACTCTTACGTTATAAAAATCATAGAACACGTTAAGTCAATACCAAATAACCCCAAAATGTTATATCAAATATAATATTAAATGAGAAAATCCTGTTCACTCCCCACCCAGTCCAACTAAATTGTTATTTGCATATTTTAGTATTCATTTGCCACGTGATGGGCATTGAAGGAAAAGTTCCATAGGAAACCTTCATGGTAGAGAAGTTTAAAAAAATCAATGAAGTTTGCTAAGTTGCTGAAGCTGAGCGCTGGAATTTATCTTGCTCTAAAACACTCTCAGTAGTGAGAGGCCTGTGCTTACCAGTGGCATGCTTTTATATAATTTACTTTACTTAAATAATAATCATTAAAATTATTGCAGCCCGCCACAATTACCACTGCCAAACCTAAAATGTATGTCTCCCCCAAAAACTGTCCACAAACACGGCAGCTCACCACAAGACCATGGCCAAACATAAAATTTATGTCTCCCCCCATAAATTGTCTCAAAACACGGCTTTGGAATCGAATATGTGTATACAGTTCGTCAATCTTTCTAGTGTAAGATCACCATATATCTGTACGAGGCTGCTATTCGAGAATCTTTCTTCCTCATCGGTTGTCGTTTTTTTTTTGTTTTTTCGTAAATGTCGCCGGCTATATCGGAAATTTTGGTTTTACTACGGATATCGTCACACACAGGATTATATTATACTGAAATACTACACAAGCAGAGTTACCTTAAGCTACATTCTGCATATTATGTTTTATGCACATATTCTTAAGGGTTCAGGCTTCAAGCATTGAAGTACTAGCAACATGCACTGGCTGTAAATTAAAAAATATACCAAAAATTATTAAAGATTCCCCATACGGAATAATATGTATATACTCTACATATACATACAAATGAATATGTATATACTCTACCTTATATACTCTTTTCTAGCGGAGGACTGCGTCTCGGTTCCATAGGTCATTACTGGCAACATGCACTGATTGTACATTAAAAAATAATAACCAATTTAATATTGTATGCCAGCAGGCCAGCAGGCACACTTTATTAATATTTATACTATAAATAATACCATGTCAGCTTAAATCGATATTTTAGTGTTTGTAAAATAAACAGAACAAGTGACGTTAGCACAAGAAATAATAGTCATTTCACTGATTATATTTATTATATTTTATATATTTAGATTATACTGATTATAATTTATATTGATATGAAGATATTTGTTAGTTTCAAACAAACAGCCAAATATCAATTAATTTTGAGTGCATTAACAAATTAAATGTATACAGTAGAACTAATTAAATACCTTACGTGGTAGAGCTACACTGTAGCTATATTGTGGTTGTAGCAAGAATGGGTCAGTTCGAACGCGGTATGACTACGGTCTCACAGAATATTAACGTGAAATATCAGCTTAATGCTGCTGT